CACCCGGGGCAAGGCACCCCCCCCTCCACAGTGGGCGGCGTCGGCGACCCGGCGGCTCGGATCGGATTCGCACAGCCAGCACTGCAGAGAGAGTGAGTGAGCCAGGCAGGGGCAGAGAGCTGCGAGTGCGAGCGCGCCCCCCCAGATGTTGCGCCCGGTGCGGCCGGCCCCCCCTGCACCCCCCACGCTACGCCTCTGGTGTGTGTGTGTGTGTAAGATGGTTATCCCTAATTCCTATTTTGTTTTAAAAAACTGAAATGGCTTGCTACCCTCTGTACAGGTCATTTAACATGGGATCATGGTGGGAAAATTGAGGGAAACTACCAGATGAGCATCATATAAAGCTGCCTTGTGATGAAGTCCTCAGAGATTGTCACACTGCTGGGAGTTGGCAAGTCTCTTCTGGAGGGGAGGAAAGGCTCTCCCCTCCCCAAATACCCAGTTTGTTTTTATTCTGGATAGAAGAGTAAGAATGGAGAGCTTCAACCCTTCTTTGCCACCCCATTAGTTCAGGAGAATGCAGTTCCTAATTCTTGCAACCACCAAATTGTATATTAAATACAAGGTTCCTTCAGAGTTGCGTGGTGCATTTTATCATCGTAACTTTAAAATAATAACAAATACCAGCCAGCTTCATAAGAAAGTGCATGGTTAACATGGCATTAATTATAACTACCGTATTTTCCAGCGTATAAGACGACTGGGCGTATAAGACATCCCCCAAGTTTTCCAGTTAAAATATAGAGTTTGAGCGAGAGAGGGGGGGGGAGAGAGAAAACTTGATGAGTAATATGCCAAACCACATGTGTAAAGGAATAAAATAGAATACCCGTATTTTCCGGCGTATAAGACGACCCCCGACTTTTGAGAAGATTTTCAGGGTTTAGAAAGTCGTCTTATACGCCGGAAAATACGGTATGTGTTCTTATTTAATCCTAACCATTGTAGATATCATATTGCTTTGAGTAAACATGTCTGTATTTATGTTGAAAAAGTAGGGGTCAGGGGATCCCTACTGCACAAAGAGTTTGCCCTCGTAAAAATGAAAGGTCAGAGTCGGTGAAAGATGTTCTCCTTGACTGCAACTTTTTTGCAGAGGCTTGCCAAGATTTGAAGCAGCTTATGTTACAAATAATGCCAGGCAAATCTAATTTTTGTAGATGCTAATTTTGGGCTATCTAATGAAGATCGCAAGGTGACTCTTACACTGTCAAGCAAAGGATACAACAAATGGTTTAAACAGAAATGGCTGAATTATTTTGAAAGTATTGTGTGTAGTTGAGCTACGGTACATATTTATGTTGCTTACTATAATAATTTCTGTAATATGTTCTTTCTGTTGGTTTTCTTGATTACAAAAAACTTACAACTTTATATATGCATGCCCATTATGCTGTTCCCTGTCAGGTTAAGCATCATTGTGTAAGGAGCCAAAAGGAATAAGAACCAATAAACCAAAGCAGTTAAACATCTAAAAATAAGAGAAAGGAAGCAGCTGATTTTAATTTATATCAACACTTCTGCATTTCTCCATGCCTCTCTATAAATACTCACAAAGGATCTCTGTTTCCATCATATTCACACATTGCCTTTTTGTTATTTAAACTTCTGATTTCTTTTGGAGGATTTCACTGATTTCTTCTCTGTCTTTCCCTTCATCTTATACACAAATTCATCTACTTTCCCTTCCTTTTATTCCATATGTTATTTTTCATCTGCAATTTGATCATCATTCATTTTGTCTATACGGCTAAACCAATTCAACAAATTGGTTACTTATATTCAGTTTACTATCTTATTGCATTCACTCATTTCTGACTTTATTTCCTTTTTTGATCACATACACTTAAGTACACCATTCCCATTCTATTTAGCTTTATGCTTCTCTTGATGTATCCAAACCTCATTCCTATATAACAGCGGTTCTCAACCTATGGGTTGCGACCCCATTTGGGGTCGATCGACCATTTCACGGGGGTCGCCAAGCAAGGCTGTCCGCCATTTTTTTTTCCTTTTCCGGCGGGTGCCTTACCTCCCTTGGGCTGGGCCAGCTGGTGGTTGGCCTGCTCCGTCTCTGCCGCTTGCCAGCTATGCCTCGGCCGGTGCAGGGGGCGGAAACACGCATGCGCGGCGCTCCCGGGCAGGGAAAGTCCTCGACTTACGACTGGTTGGGTAGTCCTCGACTTACGACTGGTTTAGTCCTCGACTTACGATTGGTTTAGTCCTCGACTTACGACCGGTTGGGGGGTCGTGGCATTAAAAAGGTTGAGAACCACTGCTATATAACAAAGTGGGCAGAAGCACACATTTTATGCAGCCATTTCTGCTATTTCTGATGAACTCTGTGGAGTAGATTATATACTGCTCACTACCATTCTCCAAGTATTCATACATCTTTAAAATTTCTACATTTTCTAATAATAATAATAATAATAATAAAGTTGGAAGGGACCTTGGAGGTCATCGAGTCCAACCCCCTGCTCAGGCAGGAAACCCTACACCATTTCGGACAGATGGCTGTCCAGTCTCTTCTTAAAGATTTCCAGTGTTGGAGCATTCAGCACTTCTGGAGGCAGGTTGTTCCATTGGTTAATTGTTCTAACTGTCAGGAAGTTTCTCCTTAGTTCTAGGTTGCTTCTCTCCTTGATTAGTTTCCATTCGTTGCTTCTTGTCCTGCCCTCAGGCGCTTTGGAGAATAGCTTGACTCCCTCTTTGTGGCAGCCCCTGAGATATTGGAATAAATTCATCTACTTGCTCTGTTTTCCCCCATTTTTGTAGAAAGTATATATATTTATATATAACTTGTAATTGTTTACTGTTTTCCTTGCAAAATTTCATATAATTTTGCTGCACCATTATTCAGGTTCTCGGCCAGCAGTATGGCAATAGAAATACTTGTACCGAATCAACAAGTCTCCAATATGATCTCAAGTGTTCCTTACACATTTCTTTACAAATGCATTAAACAATCAAGGACATATCACACATCCTCCCACTAAATACTCAGCCATTTGCTAAGCAATCTGTTTATTCCTACACTTGTGATACTTGTAGCATATGCTGATTTTACTAAATAGCAGTTAATACTCCATAATAATACAAAACATTCCATAATTCTGATCTTCATCACTTTATTGTACTTCTTTTCTAATATCATATATTGGAATAATCTTTCTCCATATATATCTCTATCATCTGCTTAAGTGTTTTCTGTACATCTCATGTACAGTACAATTTCCTGCATCCCACCAGCTAGGAGATGGAGTGGAGTGTATTGACTCGCCTTCAGAATACATAACTAGTTGGTCATATTTACATATGGGGGGATTACATAATTGCTGAAGGAGAGAATAAGGAAGTATCTAGAAATGCATAGTATAGCACAAAAATTTGGGGAAATGGTGCAGGAGATGACATACTATTGTGCAATGAGGTTTCTGAAAGCAGTCCCAAGAGCAAAAAGATTTGAGATAACCAGCTGGATCAATGAGTACCAATTCTTTGTAATCACCTTCCATCTTTGCTATAAACCTCCCAATTTCAATAACATTTCAATAAAATATTTTTCAGGTTTTTCTTTTTAGCAGTTGAATAGTCATTTTCCAGGAATGATTATTTCTAAGCAATTTTGTCAGTATAGATTTGGACAAAATGCTGTAAAAATCACTTGCAGCTTGTGTAATTTGCAGGTGTTCATCTGTTTTCACAAACACCACAGATCTGTCCACCTTGGTACAGTCTGCATGTGGGCTAGATTTAATTTACTCATTCAGCTGCACTCAGCATTTTTGGTAGGATGCAGACACTTGTTTGGAGAATGTATAATTGGGGCAATGATACTGAAGTGCTTAACTATGTGGGTATTTCTCCCCCCCCCAGCCCCCAAATTAACTTGTAATTAGATGTCTGTCTCTTTCAGTTGAATCGTACTCTGAAGAAGATGGGCCAAAGACCTTGAAACTCTTCTTGCATCAGCTATTTGCCCTTTTTGAAGAGGGTAAGCCTGGGAGAAATATGAGCTAAGAATTCTGGAATCTTCTATAATCTCTGCCATTTTTACTTACATAGCAGATGGTTGTGCTCATACAAAAAACTAGAAGGTCTAATTAAATAAATGAAATTTCTTTGTGTCTCTGGAGTTTGTTCATTTATCCCTTTGAGGGAGAAATAGCTAATCTTTGGCTTCTTTTGATATCTTGGTTGTGGTGCTTGCCTAATTTCATTCTATAGGGCAGACATGTCAAACACAAGGCCCGGGGGCCGGATGCGGCCCGCGAAGTGGTTTCATGTGGCCCGCAAAGCCATTTGGAAACAGTGAGGGAACGGCCCCCGCTGTCTTGGCCCTGGCCCAGGCCAGCCAGGAGCCAATGTACAATTTTATGGTGGGCCATCTATGCTGAAACGCATTCAGTCTTAGCTCCATAAGGCCGTCTGGAAACAGCGAGGAACCAGGGGAGGTGTCACCCTTTGTGAGGAATGAAGAAATGGACCATGCCTTGGCGCTTGCCCCGGTCCCACCCCCTTCTGCCAGAGACCCTCAGATCTGTCCCACTCCTGGCCAGGCCCCCACAGGCCCCCTTGACACGAACAATGTAGAGCTGGCCATGCCCACCCAGTAGGCCACACCCAGTTCACCCATGCCCACCCAGTAGGCCGCACCCACCCTGGCCACACACCCCCCCCGAGGGCAACCGCAATGCTGATGCGGCCCTCAATGAAATTGAGTTTGACACCCCTGCTATAGGGAGTGTTTTTTGAAAGCTGGCAGAGTGTTTACCGGGACTCAAGCACAGGTCTTCACCTCTATTTTGAAAGGTGATCTGCTTTAATGCTGATTTTGCAAAAATATGAGCTTGTTCTTTCTCCTATAGTTTTAAAATGTGAAACCACAATGCCCTGCTTTGCTAAAAGAAAGCAAAGAGAAAATGCTATATGTCAAAATTATTTCTGTGAGGCTGTAGATTTAATCCCTCTAAGATTGAATGCCTTCAGAGTGTCTTCCAGATCTTTTATGATATAGTTCTTGTTCTTTTTCTTTAATGTAAAGCACTGGGACAGTAAAGATGAAGTCTCTGAATCAAGCTTAGCTCTTGGTGACCTCATGGATATGTCCACACATGAGTTTTGGCAATATCCATGTATCCTGTTTTATTTTCAATGCCCCAAACCAGTCTACACCCAGTAGATAGTGAAGTTGACATCAGATAGCATCCTTCTTATCATTTATGATTAAATTTCTCTCTCTTTTAAAAAATGATACTGAAAAATACTGCAAACCTTCAGAGTCCTTTTATATGAAATAAAAGAAATTATGACTACAGTCCCGTGTAAGTTGGAAATGATTCTCTTAAACTTGGTAGTTTTGGAAAACATATGTAGGATTGGGCTGCACAAAGGATACGTCTGCTTACATTGGGTCAAATGTTAGGGGTTTTCCGTGTATGACAAAGTAACACGTTATGGAATGCTTCTGACAGCAGTGAATCAACATTACTAAAAAATAGCAATTTGTTCATGCCAGATTCCTTCCAGCTTTCCTAGTGAGGATAAGCACATGAAATTAGGACTGCCAATTGTTTCAATTGTACACTTAATGTGAGGCTAGCTAATGCCTTTTGGAAAATGTTTGTTTATCAGAATAGGCATATTAGGAAGTGCTGAGTTCATACAAAAACTACAAATCTGCAAGCTCCTTTCCTAATACAAGGTTGCTACAAAGTAGCTAAACAGGCACACTTTACAGTTCGAGAATCTGTGTGTGTTTTACTGTTTCTTTGAAACCTTGTTAGGGATTTATTAACTTCCAGTGGTGGTTTCATTGTGCTTTGTTCTCATCCTCAATATTTCTGTTTATATATTTTAGTTTCTATATTCTTGCCAGAAAAAAAGGATGAAAATCAATAATAGAAAAATAATAAATTTGTCATGCTTACTTTTGCTAAAGCATAGTTGGAAAAGATGAAAAGCTAAAGCATTTTGTAAAAGTCCATGTTGCAGGTATTAATCTCTCAGCTGGAGATCTGTGTATTAACAAGAATACATAAACAAATTTGAAAAATTTACATTTTTCAGGACTTTGTAAATGCTAACATAATTTTCAAATATTATAATGAGCTGTTCTAAAAAAAAAACTTTGTCAGCTGTTCATATAAGATTTAAAATGTACATTATGGGCCTCTAGTAGCATCCATGTGGAGCCTACAAGAATACTCCCTACTTTATGTAGCAATATTGACGTGGAAAAGTAGAGCCATGCTTCCTTTGCTAGAGATTCCATCTTACTGAAAAACTGTTAACAGATTTTGGCAACAGACAATGTGACAATCATAGGAGTTGAATAATTCCTAACTTCTAGCACTGGAGATAAATTCCTTGGCCAAATATTCTATTCTAGACTAGACTAGACTAGACTAGATAGACTAATGATAAAAAAATAATATTGAAGAATTTTATGCTTTGCAGTCTAATATGGCCACACATATTTAAGACTCTTGAGATTTCAGTGGAGCTTGTTTTGTCGAAAATGGCCTGGATAATGTCTTTCTATGAGATTTAAGAAAGAGGCTTGTTAAAGTCTCAAGAGGCCTATCAGGGAGACAAGTTTTGGAAATCATATCCTACAACAATATTTGAATGAATTAAAGATTTAGATTTTCAGAAGTAAAAGGAATAAATATTTGATCATGGTTAAAATAATATGTTTTATGAAATTCTGGCAATCCTAAATGGACTTTTTGCTGACACCAGGATTGAAAAGTTGATGTCTTACAGATTTGCTTATAAATAAGGGATGGGTGATGGGAAGAAGAGATACCTGTTTGTAATCTTATAGGGGGGCAAAGACCTACTAAACTCATTTATACTTGTGATGAACATTGGAAATTACTACTTTATTTATTATTTCACCCTTTATTTTTCTTTTCTTTTTTTCTTTGCACTTTTCACTTTGTTTTTTACTTTCTATCTCTCTGACTTTAGTTTGTATTAATTTTTATTACTGTAATTAAAATTTTCAATAAAAAATCATAAGGAATTTGAAGCCTAGTCATGTATGTGTTTGCTTGGAAGTAAAAAAAGCCTGATTTTACATGTGTTTATATAGAACTGATTGTTTTTGTTCAGTGGAATTCTTCCAGTAACTGAAATGCAGTTTTTAGCTTTTTTGTAAAAGATCTCTGTCCTGCCACTTGTGTAGAAAGAAAGTATATTATAACATAGATTGGATGGCAAAGGTTTCAGGAATGCTCGGGTTGCGTATGATCTCCTGGTTATAAATAAATTCTTCAATCTTTTGCAATATTTTTGTCACTGATAGCACTTTTACAACTATATATTGTAGCATTGAGTATGGTATAGTGGATAGCACCTAAAATTTAAATTGAAAATCTGAATTTAAATCCTTACTCAGCCACACATCTTTATGGGTGATTTTTGGCTAGTCTCTATTTTTCATATTTTTCTGTTTACCATTTTTTAATAATGTGAATTGTTACTATCCTAGATTGCATTGAGAATAAATAAGACTTGATATAATGTTATGAGTCCACTTTAAAAAGTGGCTATGTGCCACTTCAGAAATAAGAATCACTATTTGCATCAGACTATAGGATTACCAAATCCAGATTTCTGTCCCCACAGTGACCAACTAGATGGCTGTTGAAAGTTCATGAGGATAACAACATTCTTCCCAGCAATTAGTGTTAACAAGCACTCTGTCTCTGGCGGTAGAGAAAAAGAAAGCCACTGTAAAAAGCTATTTTGATAAATGTATCTGCCAATAATTTGTCAATTCCTCTCTTAAAGATAGTTTATTTCTATAGTCTATGTTCTGCAAAGAATTTATCATATCAGTGTCATGCTATTCTTCATTTTCCCCAGTTATTTTCCCCCCAGTTATTTTAGAATTTTATAGACCAATAGGTTCACTTCAAGCAGCCTGAAGAATCTCCTCAGGCACTTTCTTCTTATGGAGATGCCTCCTGTAGCATTCTCAAATCTAGTTTAGGATTATCTTTTAGCAAGTGTGATCAAATAGTACATGAAGTGGTCTTTGCATTTGCACCTGTTACCATTCCCTCCACAATGTCTGAGAATGAAAGAGATATCACATGCTGCACATTTATGCCTGCATCACACTTCTGTTAAGTGGCAAAAAGGTGTGGGTGGGTTCACTTCATCACAGCTGACCTTCTGGCCAGTTGCTCTTTGTAGGAAGAGGAAGGACAGGCTGTTTCAGTCTGTGCCTGGCACCAACTGAAACTAAAGGAATTCAAAGTATGCAGCCACATTAACAGAGAGCCCAATTGTTGAAATGCTGGTGAAGTTTCTGTATAGCCACATTGTTTTTAAATCTCAGCTCCGGGCTCAACTGCCGTAATAAATTCTGGGCTGATGTAGCTCAGTGATAAACCCCCCCTCAGAACTCTTAACTGCTGAAATCATGAAATTAAATTGGTGCTACAAGTGATTTGTTTCACATTTCTTGTCAGGAAGATACTGCTTTACACTGACCAGATCCAGTGTAAAGTTGATGCTGACCAAGCAAAATGACCTATCTGTATGACCTATCACAATTTAAGTTGGCTTCGTGACCCACTTGCATCCAGTATTAATTTAGTATGGTGATCAGTATTGTAATCTTAGAGTCATGTCATGGAAGTGCCTAATGAAAAATGATTTTGTTCAAACAAGACACCAAGCATACAGAATACTATACTGATATATTTTTATACACAATGTTGTTTGACATAAGATCCTGTAAATTTGATCAAAGGCATACTTCCTTATTTATGGCACCTTTAAAAGTCTCAGTATGAAGATATAGGCATCAATCTGTCTGTCAATGCCACTCTGTATGCCAAATTCTCTGATCTACTTGATTTCATTAAAAAAAAACCAATTAAAAAAAATAAATGAGAAGCAAAGCAATACATTCAAGCCTAATTTGTATTTTCAGCAATTCCTCCAAGTCTTGCATAGTATTCAGCAGCACTCATAAAATAAAATGATAGACAATTTCAGCCTGATATTCTTATGGAACTGAATCCACCTACTCAGAAAAAAAGCAACACTATAGAGTGGGTGGCTTATTAT